GGATTCGCTGCCTTCTAGAACTTTCTCTGTTCTCTCCAGCATAGCCTAGAGGAGGACTGATTTTCCCAAGAGAGAGAGAAGCAGGGTGCGTGCCTGATGGCCTGACTTCCTTGGGATAGGCCCCCACTGTTTTGGTGGAAAGGATAAAACATTCAGGCTTTTGGGTAACCATCATTATGAAATATTAATTCAGCAACAATTTCTACATGTACAGAGAAAGCCAGACATATGTAGCCCGTACACTCTGGAAATTTATCATCCAGGATGGATGCATAGACACAAACTGAAAGGCACAAGGTGATTGGTAGTGATCACAGCTGAAAACAGTAGATCAGAGGTCAGAAAATTTGAGTACAAGATCTAGCTCTGGCACATAATAATACCATTGTGACTTTGGGCATGTCACTTAACCGACATTGGCCTCAGTTTGCTTATCTGTAAAATGGATATACCCCCTCTATCTACTTCACAGAGAGTGTTGGTGAGGATCCAATGAGCTAAAGCATGTAAAAAGAGCTTTTTAATAGTGAAACATTACAGAAAAGGGACCTGGAATTCTATCTGCATGATACTTCATACTTGAAGAATTCTTCATGTGACTTAGGTCATTTGATACATTTATCCTGTAAAGCAGGTACAGTGGGTTTTACTACACCCATTTTGCAGATGAGGAAACTGAGACCCAGGGATGTTAAATCATTTGCCAAAGACCACACAGCAAATCAATGACAAAGCAAGAATCAGAACCCACATCCCATGACTCCCAGCTCAGGATTCTTCTCTGCAACACACCTCCCCCAGAAGATGTAATATTTACAAAGATCTATGATTTCATCGATGTGGGTGCTTCTTCCACTGATACCTTAGGAGAGAATTTCATGACTTGCTATGACTAGAAAAAAAAAATTCATCACCTGGTGGCTGGCCCTGTGGTTCTGAGTCTCTACAAATGTATAAGCTAACATACACAGTGGCTAAGCTAACATACACAGTGTCTGCCATGGAGTTCTGAACTTGAAGTCTTTGCAGCTTGGTGGAGCCTGCCAGGATTTGTGCTTTTTTGCTTAGCCTCCAAGAGTCCAGAACCACTTCTCCACCATGATTTGAAGGCAGATGAGGACTTTGGCAGAGAATGAAATGAGGCTTAATTATTGACTTATGCAAACCAGGGGCCAGTCTGGATAGACCATTAAACAGCCCTGACTTTGGATGGAGTACAGTCTTAGCAAACTGCTTGCATGTGAGTTGACATGGCCCAGTAGTGAGTGCAGAATTCCTGAGCCCTTGAATTTCAAGCCCAGTATTGTCTTATGACATTAGACTCACCCCTTTCCCTTTTTACACTTCTGTTTTCTCAACTGTGTAAAACTAATCTCTGTTTTCACCTCTGTTTGTTGATGATTGATGGTGACCATGTTGACAAAGTGTTCTTCAGGGAAATACCTTTAAAAAGTCCAGGTTTGCCTCTCTTAATGAAGTGAAGTGTTACTGGGCAAGTGTATGTAAACTGAATTCTCTTTTGCCTACTATCTCAGAAAGGCTTCCTTCTCATTTCCAATGGATTAGGATTCCTAATTCTTTATAATGGAATATCTCCACCCTTCTTGCCCCCAGTTCCTCTGTCAGTTTTTTATCCATCCATAAACAAACACTTTAAAGGAGAAGAAAAGCTGCTATTTAAAGGAACCTTGGGGAAACATTTTCATAAACTGAAGAATACTTTTGCAAAGCAAAAAAAAGTTAAAAACACACTGGTGTCCTCATTTCATAAAATTGCGATTTTCACATAAAGGATTTGCTTGCTTATATACACACATGTGTGCGCACGCATGCACACATGTACACACACACACAAACGTGCCAGTTTTCATGATTCCATATACTCTGGCCCTAATTTCAAGACAGTTGACAGCTCTCCACGGCTGATGCTAAGATGTTGCCTGCAGAGGTGGAATCAGGGAAACTGGCTGAGCACCGAGTAACTGACCCCTCCTCCTCTTCAGCACTGGAAACAACACTGAAAGGATCCCCTCCCTCCATTGAAAACTCTTGGATTTTCCATATCATGTCTTATCCTTGGTGTCTCTATGAGTCTCTGACCTTTGTCTGTCTGAGGTCTGTTGTGTCTATCTTTGTGTCTGAATGTCTAACTCACTTTTTCCTTCCTCTCTTGCCTCCCTCCCTCTGTTACATTTCTATGTATTGAGTTTCTTTCTGTGGCCATTGTCAGGACTTCACTTGTCACTGGTGACCAGCCTGTTGGGCAGTGACTGACCCGTGTCTATACCAAATCCTACTTTCTGTTGTATTTGTCCGAGCCATACCTTGTGACCTTTTAGCAAAGGACCCTCAACACAGAAAGCACTGCTCTTTTATTGCTTTCCAAATAATGTCCAGGTTATTTGTTCTCTCAACAAATAATACAGTTGATGGAGGGGTGAAAGAGGAGAGAGGGAGGAAGAGGAAAGTCTGACTATCCAATTCAGCACATAGGCTTTACAGGGGATTTTTCACTGAACATGAAGGATAGAAGTGAGTCCATCTAAACCATCCCTTCATTTAACAGAGGTCAGGCAACTTGTCCAAAGTCACACAAGGATTAAGTGGTAGATGCAGGACTTGAGCTGAACATCCTGACTCCAAACCTGGTGCTCTTTCACTTTGTTACCCATTTTTAGAAGGGCAGATAGCCAAGAAGATCATCATACCCACTTCATTTTTCCACACACCACCGCCACCTATGACCAGTTTTATTCTCCTCAACACTATGGTGCTGAGTCCCAAGGACTAACAGAAGTTCATCAGACCACTGGGGCTGGCTGATTCTCTTCTCTCAGGAACATTCTTTTTCGTTCCTTTAATTGCAACATTGTATGTGTGTCACTTTTTCCATTGTGATACCCTATCCTTTGACTTCCATGGTTGAAGGCTATTCCTGTGACAACACTGTATCTATTTCACCACATCCTTTTCTGCTCCCTCTAAATATAACACTCCAGTCTTGCAGCTTTTAGCCTGTTTTGAATGGATCTGTTAAGAATCTTTCTGGGCTGGCTTTTAAAAGACCCATTCAATTCAATCAACAACATTTATTAAACACCTGCTGTATATAGAGCAGTGTGCTACATGCAAGGGAGTATGCCCTCATGGTATAATGGATAGTGCTGGATTAAGAATCAGGAACCCCGGGGCAGCTAGGTGGTACAGTGGATAGAGCACCGGCCCTGAAGTCAGGAGGACCTGAGTTCAAATCCGACCTCAGACCAAACATTTGATACTTACTAGCTGTGTGACCCTGGGCAAGTCACTTAACCCCAATTGCCTAAAAATAAAAAAATTTTTAAAAAAATAAAAAGAATCAGGAGCCCTGGGGTTCAATCCTGTCTCCAAAGACTAATTATATATTTTCAGCATCTTCTTCCAGTTACACACGTGCTCACACACACACACATTTTATTTCTATATGTCTCAGGCTTATCTCCAAAACAAGAATAAAAACAGCACCCACTTCACAGGGTTATTGTGAGGATCAAAAGGGTTAATGTATGGTTAAAAGATAAGACTCCAAAGACATACTTTGGCTCTCTGTAAGATGGAACCAGCCGCTAGGGGACGCTACAGTGCACAGAGCACCAGACTGAAAAACCTGAGTTCAATTCTAGTCTCAGGCACTTACAAGTTATGTGACCCTGGGCAAGTCACTTAACCTCTGTTTGTCTCTGTTTCCTCATCTGGAAATTGAGAGTAATAATAGTACCTGCCTTACAGGGTTGTTGTAAGGATCAAGTGACATATTTGTAAAGCCATAGTAGGTAGGCACTATATAAATGTTAGCTATCATTATATGGTAACATAAATAAGAAGTAGATTCCAAAATTAGACACCCAGATATGGGGTACAGGTACAGTAATAGAAGGAAAGATTAGATCCCTGACAGATCCCTGAACCAATCAAGGAAGCTTAGGAACCAGGAAGGTCAAGGAGTTCTAGGTCTCCAGCTAAGGGCCAAGAATCAGAAATTCTAGGCCAGGTCTAGAAATTAATAAAAGAGAAAGCCCTGTGGACAAAGGTAAATGAGGACCTGGAATGTTCAGGAAGCTAACTGGGATCAGCAGAGCCTCAGGCCCAGGCTCAAGTCTTTTATTGGGTGAACAGGAAAACCTGACAGTCATCCCAGATACCCCAAGGATGGGAAAAGGGAGGATATGTGTGATTTAGAGGAAGAAACCAAGCACTGGTCTTGGCTTAGACATGCCCTGGACACACTCAGTTTATTCTATGCCTTGTTTCTTCCCCAGAGAAAAAGCAAATAGTGATAGTTACCACACCATCCCACCCCTGCCTTAACCTAACCCTGCCTTCCCATTTTCCCATCATCCTAATAGCTTCAGGCTTTTGTAGAAATGCTAATAATAGCACTTAGCTGGCACTTTATGGTTTACAAACTCTGTATCTATGATCTTTCTCGGTCCTCACAACCAATCCTGGTAGTAGGTTGGGCAAATATTATCCCCCATTTCACAGGTGAAGAAACTGAGGACAAAAAAAAAAGATTAAATGACTTGCCCCCTGATCGTACAATTGGAGCCAGAACTCCACCATGATTTCAAATCCCACTCTCTTTTTTCAGTCAAAGGGAAAAACTGAGAGGAGCAAAAGGGATGGGGGTGGGGATGGGGTGGGCAGGTGGGGAAATAGATACACATATATATTCTGTCCAAAAGACTGGATGGAAGAAGGAAGAGAAAGGATGTTGAGATAGCTCTGGTATTGCACATCAAACATTGAACCCAAGCTTGGAACCTAGCTATGTGACCATAGGCTAGTTATTTCCTCTATGGGAACCTCAGTTTCATTCGGTATAAAATGAAGGGGGTGGGGCAGATGAACTCTAATGTCCCTTCCAGCCTATTAAAAGGGAAGGGAGTGGGAGGACAAGGCTGTAGAAGTGTTTACACTGTCTTTCTCCTTATGTCTCCTCTTCCTGCATCCTGGAGCAGGTGGTGAGCCAGATAGACAAGCTGACCTCCGATTTTGACTTTGAGCTTGAGCCTGACGATTGGACAACAGCCACGGTCAGCAGCACATCTAGCAGTGAGAAAGGTGGTGGGAGTGGCCCCTTCGACCTGACCCACCTGGATTTCATGACCTCAGACATCCTCTCTGACAGCTGGGAATTCTGCTCTTTCTTGGACATCTCAACCCCTTCAGACTCAGGCGACGGCCCTGAGCCAGCCCGACAGCCTCCCACCCCTGACTACAGGCTGATGAATGGAGGCGTGCTTATCCCCAACGGGCCCCGTATTGAGACTCCCGACTCTTCCAGTGAGGAAGCCTTCAGTTCTTGTCCCCCTGAGCCCCCCAAGGGCCAGCAGGCCCATCGGACCCCGGGCACCAGGGAGCGGGTGCGTTTCAGTGACAAGGTGCTCTATCATGCTCTCTGCTGTGATGATGAGGAAGGAGAGGGGGAGGAAGAAGAGGAAGAGGATAGGGGAGCCCCATCCCCCAACCCCCCTCAGACAGAGGCCCATGTGGCACCCCTCAAACCTCCCCTGGCATCCTGCAAGCCACGGAGGTCTCCCCTCACAAGCCGGAATGGGAGTCATGTCCCTACACTCACCCCAGGGTCAGGGCAGACCCGCAGAGTCACACGGAACACTAGCACCCAAACGGTGTCGGACAAAAGCACCCAAACTGTCCTGCCATATGCAGCAACCAGGCAGAAAGTCAAAGGGAAAAACTGAGAGGAGCAAAAGGGATGGGGGTGGGAATGGGGTGGGCAGGTGGGGAAATAGATACACATATATATTTAAACAAATCCAATCATAATAAAACAAAAAACAAAAATGGTAAGGAAAAGGTCATAAGAACTCCCCAAACTTATCATCCAGGGTGGGCCAGCCTTACCTATAGGCAGAGTGGGTGGTTGCCCACAAGGTCTGACATGAGCACCGGGGAAAATTCCTTAGCAAAAACCCACCCCCAGACTGCCACAGTGCCTGAAATGTCCCCATTAGAGCTACCTCGATTTGGGTCGAGCATTGCTCCTCTCTTACAGTGAATACCTCCAGGGGAGGGGGAGTCTTTAGTCCCTCCTACCTCAGGGGGAATTGCTTTGTTTGATGTTTTAATCTGGAGCAAGAGACAAACGAGAGCTTGAGAACTCTGGTACAAATAGGAGAAGATGGGATGCAGAGGCTGGAAAGGATCACAGCCAGGGCCCAGATACAGCTTTTTTCCAACTTCCCAATCTCACCATCTGTTAACAAAGTAGGGCTGTGGTTCCTTACCCTCCGCTGGCAGGGTCGAGATGGCTACACAACCCCTGGATCCTACTCAGAATGCCCCTTGGATTTGGGGTGATATTGGAGCCACCCTTCTCATGGGGTTATCGATTTCAAGCTTAAAGGGACTCATCATTACTTAACATTTTTATTTAATTCCAAACCCTCATTTTACAGATGAGGTAACTGAGGCCCAGAGAGGGGAAGCAATTTGCCCAAGGTCACAGCTACTTTAGTGGCAGGGCTGGGAGGAACTCAAACTCCTAAGTCCAGCGATCCTTCCACTAAACCCCTTCAACTTCAACTTCCAGGCTCTTGCAAAGTCTATTCCCCATGAATCCCTGATCAGCCTCGGGAACACTGGGTAGGGATGGGGTTAGACACCTATCATTTTCCAGTGTAATATCTCTCCCATTTTAGTTTAAACTCCCCTGACAAGTGCGTTAGATGTTTCTCTCCTTGTCTGGAGGGACCTGAGCCCCTCGTGGAAGGAAGAGGACAATTGTTTCCCTTATGGGCTGGGTGGGGGGGGGGAAGGGCGGCGATCAATTTGCTTTGCAGAGCTGTAGAATCTTATGTGAAACTATAAGCAAATACTGGGGGTGAAAAGAAAGGGAAGATATGTTATCAAAATAATCATGTGGCTTCTCAATGTAAGATGGTGTTTTGAGGACTTCCTAGGATCATAGCTGTAGAGGATATCTTAGAGGATATCTAATTGAAACTCCTCATTTTAAAGATGAGGAAACAGGCACAGAGCTCTTAAGTCTGCCCAGCAGCACACGGCTTACAGTAAGTATTTGAGGCAGAATTCAAACCCAGATCTTCTGGAGTCCAGAGCTCCCTCCACTATATCATCACCCATCAAATGGTTGTATTGCAGGGGACCTAGAGCACTGGATTTCTGTTTAACTGTGACTTCAGGGCAAAATCTATTCCCCTTGGTTTGGACTATATGTCACTGAAGGGGAGGATATGCTCCCCCACATAGCTGTATGACTTCAGACTATCTCACCCACAGAAAATAACTACTTGGATTTGTCTCTGAACTGAACACATCTCTCCACAAATCTCCCCAGGACTCCCAGATTCATTCCTTTGGCATCAAGAAATATGGTTGCCGATGGGGCATTGGGAAATTTTGGGAAAGGAAGCAAAAATATAGGGAAGGGGAAAGGAAAGCTGCTGGTAGTTAGGTCAGGAAAGCTTTCTAAACAATAGAGCAATTAATAATAACAGTTAGCATTTATAGAGTGCTTTAAGATTTGTGAAGAAATACAAATATTATTTTTATTTGAACCTCATAACAACCCTAGGAGGTAGGTGCTATTATTATCTCCATTTTACAAATGAGGAAACTGAGACAGACAGTGGTTAAGTGATTTGTCCAGGGAAACACACCTAGTAAGTGTCTGAGGCCAGATTTAAATTCAGGTCTTCCTGACTCTAAGTTCAGCACTCTATCCACTGTCCCTGCCTGTATTATTCAAAATAACTTGTGAGTAGTATGAGGCTTGTTTTCCCTTGAAAATAAGCTACTTTCCACGAGAAAGGAGGGTTCCCCTTTAAGAAGAGTAGAGGGTTGGGGGAGGGGTGGAGAGGAGGAGGAAGAAGAGAGAGATGACAAGCTACCTGTCTTGAAGTATGTGAAAGTTTATCGTATGGAAAGAGGGATGAGATTTGTTCTGTTTGGCTCCAAAGAGCAAAATCAGGAAAACTGGGTGGAAGGCAGAAAGAAGTAAACTTAGGTTTAACTTGCTGGGACAACTTGCTAACAATCAGAGCTATAATAACAATAATGACTCATTTATATAACTCTTTCATATTTATCTCATCTGAGCCTCACAACAACCCTGTGAGGGAAATACTATTATGATTTCCATTTTACAGATGAGGAAACTGAGGCTCATAGAGGTTAAGTGGTCAACTTGCCCAGGCTGACACAGCTAGTACCTGTTAGGTACTTGTCAGGTGTGATTGCTAGGGATTCTTTTGGGAGTCTTGTTAGGTGTGATTGCTAGGGATTCTTTTGGGGGTCTGAACAGTGAAATTCCTTCCAACTCTGGTGATTCATAGTCATGGGACTGGAAGCTGAGCCTTGGTGAGCCCAAGGATGAGTAAAGGTCATCTTACCCACCCAGGCTGATTGTACCCAAGGCAAGGTGGCATGGCTCCTAAAAATCTACCTAACCCTCTTAAGAAAAAAACAAAATAGGGGCAGCTAGGTGGTGCAGTGGATAGAGCACTGGCCCTGGAGTCAGGAGGACCTGAGTTCAAATCCAGTCTCAGACCAGACTTGGTAGTAACTTGACAGTTACTAGCTGTGTGACCCTAGGCAAGTCACTTAACCCCAATTACCTTGCCAAATAAAATTAAATTAAATTTAAAAAAAAAAAACAAAACTGAGATTCCAAACACCCACGAAACTGGGCAAGTTGAACCCTACTAGGAAGCTTTACTGTGTGAACAGCCTCCACTTAAGACAGACTTCTTGAGTATTCTTAGGATCCTTTCAATCAGGGTCATACGAATGACCTACAACCCTGGTCACAGACTGAACCCTAACCAAAGCTACAGATTGACTCTTAATTTGGTCATTAAACTAGCTGCCCATTCTGGTCACAGACTGACAAACTGGCCCCATACTGACCCCTAACCTTCCTATCTAATCCTTAGAAAGTAGTGAGATACAGAGGAAGAATTCTGGATTTGGAGTCAAGGGACATGGGTTTGAATCCTGATGTCACTACTTATTGCCTAGGTGATCTTGACAAAATCTCTCCGTCTCAGTTGATGGTCCCTTCCCCCTATAGTACCTTCCAGCTCAAAATATATGATTCTTTGACCTTCAACCTTGGCAATAGACAGATTGAGTCCTAACCCTGGAACAAGACTTAACCCCGAATATCAGCCCCACATTCACCCTCAACCCTATCCACAAACACTCTCAGTCCCAACTACCTTTGTTCATTGCCTGACTGCCTCTTCTAGACAATTACTAAACAGCCACACAAACGTCCTTAGTCTTAAAGTGGATTGGATGAGAATTTAGGTGACTCAGTGCTGCCACCCCCCTTTGTGGATTCACTAGAGGAAAGACCCAGGATCTTTCTGATTTGGGGTCAGCAGAACGAAAATGAGGACAAGAAGACTGGGTTTTGGCCCAAGGGGCTGGGATCTAAAGGGATGCACTTTCAGTGGCTGCAAACAGCTAAGCTTCACAGCTAGTTAGGGAGAACAAATGGGAGAAATAGGAAGCGGCTAGATGGCAGTGTTCCTCCCATCGAGGCTCAGACTCACAGTGTCCAGCTGTGCTCCCCTCCCCGAAAATAAATGGAGGGTACTTGTTACGCAACTTACCCCAGGTCCAAAAACTGCTAGTTACACTTCCAGGGATTATCAAGCTCACTGTAAATACAGGACAGAATCTGCCCCTTTCCTGCCCGCTGCAAACCACACTGATCCTCCCTCTCCCTCTCTAACCCAGCCCCCAGTCTCTAAATTCTTATGGAACTTCTGGTCTCAGCCGCTGTCTGCCCTTTGGTCGGACCCAGTAACAAACTTCTGTAATTGCTCCTTCTGTATAACTCTTGTCTCCCCGCCTTGCTAGAGGCTGAACTCCCTAGAACAGGGGATTGTGTCTTCTCCTCCTGTTACCACCATGGTGCCTGATCCAAAACTGGCGGACCCAGGAGGCCTCTTTAAAGACCTGACATGAGCTGTATACAGTAGAACTCAGGAGTAGTCCCTGTCCCTGAGGAGCTCAGTTTCCCAAAATGACCTGAGATCTCATTTAATCCCTGAGACTAATTTTCAAGTCAGTTCAATTGAACTGTATATAAGTTACTATACTGTACAACTAGAATATCCAAAAAATGAAAAACAGGTGCCCATAAGGGGCAGCTAGGTGGTGCAGTGGATAGAGCACCAGCCCTGAAGTCAGGAGGACCTGAGTTCAAATTCGGTCTCAGATCAGAGGCTTGACACTAGCTGTGTGACCCTGGGCAAGTCACTTAACCCCAATTGCCTCACCAAAAAAACAAAAACAAAAACAAAAACAAAAACAAAAACAAAACCACAGGTGCCCTCCTTGTTCTCAACATATTTGCAGTCATGGGTCATGGGTATGAGACATGTACACTCATAACTATAGCACAAAATAAAAAGAGAGAGCAGAGATGTGACAAATAGGGTTGGAAAAAGGATTGCCTCTACCTGAGACAATCAGGGAACGCTTCATGGAAGATGTGGTACCTGATCTGGCTTAGGAGGATGGGTAGGATTTCAAAAGGCAGAGTTGTGGAGGAAGTCTGTTCCAGATATGGGTCAGGAAGATCCCTGGATAAGTGCAAGAAAGCAAGAGAGGGTGAGATAACCAGTAGTGTAGTTTTGCCAAAATGTGGTGTGTATAAAACGGAGTCCTATGAGATAAGTCAAAGAAAGGCCTTGAGTGCCAAGTTAA